GAGGGATCCGGGAGCTGCTGGGGATCCTCGGGCTCACCTGGACCAGCCGAAGAGCGGCGGGGCGGCGCAGGAGATGGCCATGACCCAGGTGAAAGCGATGCCCATCAAGGCGTGGCTGGCGGAGAAGCGGAAGTTGCCCATGGGCTTGCAGATGACAATGTAGCGCTCGATGGCCAGGACAACCAGGGACCACAGGGCGACCTGGCCTGCGGGGAGGAGAGGGAGAGCCCACCGAGTGGTCAGTGCCCCTCTGGGCTCCACCTTCCCTTGGTGCTCCCAGAGGAGAGCAGAGGGAGCTGGGATCAGCGTGGGATAAGCAGCATCCTGCTAGAAAACAAGGAATCCTCCACCCGTAACGTGCAGAAGCTCTGGGAGCTGAGGGGATGCTGGGGGCAGAGGGGTTTTAATAATAAATTAAGAATCAAGGGAGTGAATCCCACCTGGGCATGGGGAAACACAATTCCTGGCAATGCTGCCAGATGCCTCCAAACCTGTTGATTCCTTTAAATGTGCATTTCACCAGCCTTCTGCTGGTGCTGGATCAGGGGGAAGTGCGGGGAGGGGGGACTGTGTGGGTGGGAAATGTGCACATGTATTTATGAGGGATAATTAAACTTCAGGGGATTTGGGAGCGTTTAGTCGGTGCTGTAAGCCTGCTAATGCCCCCAGCTGTGATAAGCTGCTGATAACGACACCCTGTGCTGGGATTCGCTGGGGACCTGCTGCTCAAACAGCCGCTGCTTCCCAGCCAACTTCCTTCCCTGGGAACAGGAGCCTCCTCCTCCTCCTCCTCTGAGCTACAAACATTGGGAAGGCAAACTAACGCTGCCCAAGGCTCAGTGAGCAGGGATGGAGCAGACTTTGGGGTCTTCTGATGCCAAACCCAAGCTTTTCCTTGATTCTTGGCTTGGATCAGGACATTCAGCTGTGCCTTTGGCAGAATATCCGTATTTTTAAAATGTGTATTTTCAGAGCAGCTTCACTGTGGGAAATGGCATTGTTTAGGGGAAGGAAAGCAAAGTCCCTGTGGTGGCTCTGGGTGTCTCCAGCAAGGACTGGCGGCTGTCAGATCCATCACGAGGTGTGGCGTGGGCAGGGCTGGCTGCGTGGGCTCCGGCTGCCGAGTGAATTCTCCCCGGTTTTCCGCAGGGCAAAGCGTTGGCAGCACTTGTGTGTGTCCCTGAGAAATGCCTCAAGAAAAATCCCAAGGGCGCCCAAATCTGGTGCAGCTGGGACAGAGCTGAGCTATCCGTGTGGAACCTGAGAACCACCCTGGATCCTCCTCCTGAACCTTCTCATCTCTCTACGCCTCTAGCTCTTCCGTGGGGTTCCCCTCCTGAGGGATTTCTCCTCCCCTTCTAAACCCTCCATTTCCCCAAAAAGGGAAGCCTTTGGGCAAAGGAACAATCATGGAATCGTGAAGGTTGGGAAAAGACCTCTAAGGTGATGAAGTCCGAGCCTGTGCTTGGTCCGAGCTGCTTGGTGTTGTTTCGGGAACACGCTGTGGTCATCCCTGGCAAGTCTCTGGTAACCACCTTGGCATCACACCCCCAGTGACCAGCAGGTCCTAGTGACCTCAGGCTGGACCCTGCGAACAAGGATCCCTTCCCAAACTTCCCTTCCTCGCCACCATGCCATGGAGGCTCCTTGCTATCAAGGTCAAACATGCAGAAATCTCTTTTCCTCCCCTATTTTAAGCGCAGGGCGAGCGCCACATGAGGGGAAACGATGCTGCACATGCCAACAGCGCCATGAAGAGATGGAACCAGACTCCCAAAGCCCCGGAGAAGAAAGCCCCAAGCCCCCATTCCCATCCCTTACCTCCCAGCGTGGCAAAGAATCCCTCCACGGCGCAGCCGATGGGGCCGAACACGAAGTAGCCGTTCCAGGCGGTGTAGAAGGTGACGGTGAAACCAAAGCAGGCCATGCACAGATCAGCCACCGCCAGGTTGACCAGGATGTAGTTGAGGGGCTGCCGGAGTTTCTTGTGCTTGAAGGTGACCAGGAGGGTGAGGAAGTTGATTGGGAAGCCGGTGGAGATGAGGAAGAAGATGTAGCAGCACACCAGGCGGTATTTCCAGGGCTCGGCCAGGTAGTACTGCGGGTACTCGAAGGGGCTCCGCACCACCCCCGTCTTGTTGGACATAGGCACGTAAAAATTGATCCCCTCCGTCCCGTTCATCCTGCCCTGGCTACGGGAGCTGCTCTGCCGGAGGGGTTTTCTGCAATTAATCGCGTTCCGACCCTGATTAATTAAAAAAGGGAAGCCCCACCCCTCCCAGCGCGGAAAGCGCGCAGCGAGAGGATTCCCCTCCAACCCAAAGAGTGAAGGAATTGCAAGGAGCGGCAGAAGTTGAGGGGATGGAGGTGGTGCCCTGCCCTGTGCCGCGCCGGGGGCTGGCGCTGCCACGCCTGGGGTGGTTTTATACCCTCCGGCCTCCTCCAGGGAGGGGGGAGGCTGACGAGGGGCTCGGCTAACTTTGTATGACAAGGCCAACGGGATTGAGAGGGGTTGATGGTTTAAGCACCCTCTAAGCAGCCAGTTGGCCCCAAAACCTGCATTAAAGAGTATTAATTGCCATTAAGTGTTTAATGTTTGGGGGCAGGAAGGGATGGGGTGGGGGGAGCTTGGAAAGAGGGGCAAAGGTGGGAGGAGCAGTGGGGAGTTTGGGAGTGGCCGATGTGTAAATGGGCTGCTCTGGGGTCCACAGTGTGTCACAGGTTTGGGGTGTCCCTGGGTGGCTGAAGGACCCCGTGAGACCACCTGAGGACTGGGGAGTGGCCAGCTCTGCCCCACTGACCTTGGGGAGGTCACTGGGGGAAGACTGGACTGGGCTTTGTGGTCTGAGCTGCTGGCTAGGCTCTGTTTTGGGTGCCTGGTTCAGTGTGGGGGCTGCTGGGGTCTGCATCCCAAATCCAGGCTCTGCTGACACAGCCAAGGGCCTGGAGCTGGGCAAAAGGTAGGAGGGGAAGCCCCTTCCCATCCCACAGGTAATGCAGTTGATAATTTTTTGGTAAATGTAGCATTTTGGGGCAGGGCTCTTGGCTGTGTGACCCTAATCCCACCCCTGGTTGTGCCACAGGGCAAAGGGCAGCAAAAATGTCCTGAGGTCCCTGCAGAGAGTGTGGAGAGACCAGCGTAGCCTGGGAGAGCCAGAGGGATGGAAGGGAGCTTTTCCCAGGCTCCCAGCACGGAATGTGGGAACTTTTTCCAGGATCCCAGCACAGAGTGTAGGAGCTTTTCCCAGGATCCCAGCACAGAGTGTAGGAGCTTTTCCCAGGATCCCTGCACAGAATGTGGGAGCTTTCCCCAGGATCCCAGCACAGAATGTGGGAGTTTTCCCAGGATCCCAGCACAGAGTGTGGGAGCTTTTCCCAGGATCCCAGGACAGAGTGTAGGAGCTTTTCCCAGGATCCCAGCACAGAGTGTGGGAGCTTTTCCCAGGATCCCAGCACAGAATGTGTGAGCTTTTCCCAGGATCCCAGCACAGAGTGTGGGAGCTTTTCCCAGGATCCCAGCACAGAATGTAGGAGCTTTTCCCAGGATCCCAGCACAGAATGTGGGAGCTTTTCCCAGGATCCCAGCACACATGAGCCTGGGAAACCACTCCCAGCAGGGCCAGCACCAATGCTCCATCTCACCCAAGTTCTTCTTCCCCATTTCTTCCTTTTGGGTCATGGGTGCTCCTTCTCCAGGGGAGCTGCCTAAGGCGCCTTAGGGAAGCTCTTCCATTAATCCTGGGGATGTGGGGCGTTAAGGGAGCTGATCGGATAACGAGGTAAGCTGGGCCTCCTCCTCCTCCTCCTCCTCCTCCTCCTCTTCAAGGCACGGCCCATGGAAAAAGTCACCGCTGTCCCGTGGGATGAATGAGGTCTCCTGCACGCCTGGAGCATCTCCGAGCTGGAGGTCGGGAGCGGAAGGCTAAGGGGGAGCTGGGGTGGATGGTGTCCTAATCCCTGATCCGTGGGAGCAGAAGTAGGACGAGGTGCAGGGAACTGGGTCAGGTCAGCCTCAGGTGCCCCGGGAAGAAGGCTCCCCACGGGATGGATGTGCCTCTTGGAATCAGGCACCAAATTCCTGCTCCAGGTCTTCCCTGAGGAGATGAGGGGAAAGTGGAGGAGTCCCATGGCCCTGCTTCTCACAGAGCTTTCCCTGGAGGAATTTCCCGCCTCTTCTGGCCATAGTCAGGCTCCAGATGTAAAAAAATTGGGCACAGAGTTGCAGAATGAGTTGAATATCAAAGGAGATCCCAGAAATTCTAATCCACAAAAACAGCTGTGCATCCATCTCAGTTCCAAGTGTGCACCTCCCAGCTCCCATGGGAGAAAGCAACTGTCTCCAGCTCCAATATTTCACTGTGGTGACCCACCTTCAAAAGAAGAAAGCAAGTCTTCAGCTCCAATATTTCACTTCAAAAACACTTATGCCTCGCTGCCAGTGTCAGCAGAATCCCAAAGCTCTGGTGTTTCTCCAAGGTTTTGCATGTGGACACCACGGGTAGCCCATGGGAAAGTTGTCACCTCCCATCCCTTCCTGGCACCCCTTTGAGGTGTCCTGCCCTCTTCTAAAGTCAAGAGTGGTGCAAAGGAAGCTGTGGGGGGAAGAAGGATGCTGAGTCTGGGTGCTGGGGGAACACTCAGCTGCACTTTTTGGGAGAGGGACCTTTCCTGGCTCAGCAGATCCTCTCCACTCACCCTGGCAGCTGAACGTGGAGGAGATTTGGCTTCATGGGTGGCCCCCAGACACCTTTCAAAGGGACAAGAGAGATTTGAAAGAGGACTGGACTGCACTGAGAGGGTTTCAGCCAACCAGGACCAGGCAAGGCTGAGCCACCTGTGTTTTGTGAGAGCGCTGTCCCCTCCCAGCTGTGTCCCCTGGGGTCACTGCCCCGAGGCTGGTGGATTTAGAGCTCCGGGCAGGTCAGCACAGCCGGAGCAATGGCCAAGGCCTCGAGTAAACCCAGAGCAGGGAAATGACACCGCTGAGGGTGGCTGGTCCCTCCAGGACGTGTCCTGAATGCAACCTCGGCTCCTGTTGCAGCCCTGCCACAGAGATGGCTTTAATTTGCTGTCTCTTAGCAGGGAAAGTTTATGAGCCGCTCTCTCTCCAGGAGAGCTCCCAGTTGTTTTCTGTGCTGACTCTACAGCAGCAGCAAATTCCAGGCCCTGCCTAATGCGGGAGGAGAGATTTGCTGCTCTGTGTTTGTGCTCAAGAAAAGGCTTTTCGTGCCCCTTGCAGGTTTTCCTGCTTTGAGCTGGGATTGTCTCTCGCTCATTGTTTGTTGGCGCGCGGCGTGACGGGGCCCTGAGCTGCTCTGGGCTTTCATGTCCTGTGTCAAGCAAGAGATGATAATTATAATCAAATAACCGGCTTGCACAGAGCCGACACGCCTGGTTCACAGGGATCAGCGACAGGCAGAGCTCACACGGAGGAGCTGGGCTCCCCCTTTGTGGTGCCCATCCCCAGCCCTGCTGGGCACAGGAGCCGCTTGCCCGGGGGTGCCCAGGGAACACCTGGCAGAGCAAGGTGGAGGGAAATGCAAAAGCACAACAAATCAGTCATGAAGGGAACACCTGCGCTGAGCTCCTGCTGCTGGGCTGTGCCGGCTGTGAGCACGGCTCTGACTGCACGGCTGAGCTCTCTCCTGTGCTTCTGGCTGGTTTTGTAACCAGTGCTGCCCTGAATCTCCCTCCCGTGGGGGCTCATTCCTCCCCGGTGGGCAGGAAAAGAGGGAGGAATTGCCTCTGGGTGCCCTGGGAAGACCCCGTTTCCCGTATCACATAGCAGCCACCCCGGGCTGCGGCGCTGAGCCGCTTAGGCCGGGCTTGTGAGCTCCCTCACCAGGAAAGGGGTTAAGGCAAGATAAAGCCACAGCGTTATAGAGACCATATGGAGGGGAAGAAAACCCTTTATCCTGTAATTGGATTCGCTCTGCGCTGGAGGTGAGGCTGAGTGGAGCTGACAGGCCGTGATGGGCGAGGCGCTGCCAGCCGCCCGTCCAAAGCAGGATGTGTGTGCACAAACTTGTAGATCAATCCATTAGAGTGGATCAAATAGATTTAAACGTGTGGCAGGGAGAAGGAGGACACTGATGTATTTACAATTGAGTTCACTGGGCTGGCCTTCCCCCAGCAGGGATTACCTGGCCATGGCTGGTGGCTCTGTGGCTCTGTGGCCATGCCCTGGAAACCCACTCAGGACAGGGGCTGGGTGTGGATGGGGAGGTGACCTTGCTTTTGTCCTAAAAAATGAGTGCACAGCAGGCTGTCTTTTGTCTTGCTTTCAAGCACAAAATTTGAGCTGGAGAGACCCCAGCTCCCGTTTTCCATGCAGGTTCTCCATCTCCATCCTGCTCAGGCTCTCCCCCATAAAGCAGCTGGGGTGTGGGGAGAGCTCCCCAACGCCAACCTCTTCTCCTGGTATCTGCACTCTCTGTCAGCTCCCAGCCTTTTCTTCCCAGGCTGCAGGAATTTCCTTGGAGAGACAGGCACGCTTTGGGCCCTGTCATTTCCCTGCCAAGGAGCTGAGCAATCCCGGCTCAGCTGCGAACCTGCTCTGCTCCGTGTGGTGCTGTCAACACTTCTCCCTCGGTGACAACCCGGGGCTGTGGCAGAGTGGGCAGGTGTGCAAGACATTCCCCCGGCCCCGCAGCGAGGAGCAGCCGGCACAGCCGGCAGATCCCGGCAGCTCCGGCAGATCCCAAAAGATCCTGGCAGCTCCGGCAGATCCCAGCAGCTCCAGTAGATCCCAGCAGCTCAGGTAGATCCCAACAGATCCTGGCAGCTCCGGCAGATCCCAGCAGTTCTGGTAGATCCCAAAATATCCTGGCAGCTCCAGCAGATCCGGGCAGCTCTGGTCGATCCCAAAAGATCCCGGCAGCTCCAGCAGATCCCGGCAGTTCTGGTAGATCCCAAAATATCCTGGCAGCTCCAGCAGATCCAGGCAGCTCCGGTCGATCCCAAAAGATCCCGGCAGCTCCAGCAGATCCTGGCAGCTCTGGTAGATCCCAAAAGATCCCGGCAGCTCCAGCAGATCCTGGCAGCTCTGATAGATCCTGGCAGATCCCAGCAGATCCAGCAGATCCCGGCAGCTCCGGCAGCGCTCCCGCAGCTGCGCCCAGAGCGAGTCGTGCTCTGCCGGGGTGATGGCAAAAACGCTGTTCTGATCTTCCAGCCTGGCAA